AACTAGGCTTACGGCATGAGGCATTATGAAACAAGCAGAAACTAGGCAGACAGCTTCAGACGATCTGCATAAGTCAGCAGAACCCAGGAAGATTGTAGGGTGATTATGTTAAGGTAAATTTAATTACGCAATATTTAAAACTCACGTAATAGGCATTAGCAACAGGCAGCAACCAGGTATACAGCAGAAGAAGGAAAATATGAGGAGTAGCGTCCCTTGGTTGTATTGGTAGCCTCCCTTGATTATTTGTGTGTTAAATCCCAATTTGGAGGACTCATTGATTTGTATATAGTTAAATCCTTTGGTTGTGTGTGTGTTTTGTGTTGTGTTATAAGCCCCCTTTGAACATAGTTGTATCATTTGGTTGTGTGTGTTGTGTTGTGTTATTTAATGATAGGTCCATTTGTGCATAGATGTATCCTTTGGTTGTGTGTGTTGTGTTACGTTGTGTTATTTGATGATAGGTCCATTTGTACATAGTTGTATCCTTTAGTTGTGTGTGTTGTGTTGTGTTATTTAATGATAGGTCCATTTGTACATAGATGTATCCTTTGGTTGTGTGTGTTGTGTTATGTTGTGTTATTTGATGATAGGTCCATTTGTACATAGTTGTATCCTTTGGTTGTATGTGTTGTGTTGTGTTATTTGATGATAGGTCCATTTGTACATAGTTGTATCCTTTGGTTGTATGTGTTGTGTTGTGTTATTTAATGATAGGTCAATTTGTACATAGTTATATCCTTTGGTTGTATGTGTTGTGTTGTGTTATTTAATGATAGGCCCATTTGTACATAGTTGTATCCTTTGGTTGTATGTGTTGTGTTGTGTTATTTAATGATAGGCCCATTTGTACATAGTTGTATCTTTTGTTTGTGTGTGTTGTGTTGTGTTATTTAATGATAGGTCCATTTGTACATAGTTGTATCCTTTGGTTGTGTGTGCTGTGTTATTTACTGAAAGGTCCATTTGTACATAGATATATCCTTTGGTTGTGTTGTGGTATTGAATGATAGGTGTTCACATGGGGATTGACGGTTGACGTGTGCAGGAATGAGATTCAGTGTGTGACAGGTGTATCATTATATTATGACCGTGTGTGAAATGATGAATACTATACGTCATGTCTAGGAAAAGCAAAACATGTCGCAAGTGTAAGCGCGGTATGAGAGAACCCAAAAAATCTAACATTGGAGAACCTGACATGGGAGCTAAGAAGACAATGAGTGCATTCGATTAAAAAAAATCAATTGGAGTTCATTAAGTTTAAAGGGTTACATATATTAAAAAAATATTCTATTTCGCAATAACGTATCTAATTGAAGATTCGAATTTCTATACGACGTTAGGGTGCACGGATCTACAGAACAAAGACGGATTTAATTTTGATGAAGATGTAGCGCAACCACCATATGGCCAGTTATTATTTTTATCCCAATTAGCGCCATTCTGTCTTGTGTTTTTCTTATGTCGCGTTTTAAATTTTAATTAAGAGATAAAAACCCAGGAATGTTAAATTACTTTATAAAAAAAAGAAAAGAAAAGAGATTTAATAAGCAACGACAGAAATCTTGTTCGTACAGGACGCAAGCTAAACTTGTAGATATTATCAGGGTTGCTTCCCTTGGCATGTTGGTTTTAATTAAAAGCGCACCTGTTCTTTTCTATTAAAATTTGTACCAAAAATTTCAGCGAATCAAAATGTTAAAAAAAAAACAAACCCAGATGTACCTGGAGATTTTATTTTGTAAGCGTAAAATCCGCAGCAGTTTTTGAATTCAGAGAACCTGTTAATAAATTTATTCTGGTCAAATATTTAGGTAGACGCAATGACATTTAAAAAAAAATATACTGATACTTTTAAATAAAAAGCAAATACTTAAACAACCTTTACCAAGATGACAAGAACGTACAATAAATAATTGTTACATTTCAATTGCATGGCCCTGCCAAGTGGCAGAGCACGCGACATCTTACAGAAGGTCTCGAGTTCGAGTCCCGGACTGAAATACGCAGTGCGTCGTTGAGTCCACTCAGCCCTAATGAGTACCTGACTAGAGTTGGGTAATGTAAAGCCGGCTGGACACACAGCTGACGACACCATCAATTCATATCATAAGTTTAAAAACCAGAGCTCTGCTTTACCTACCAGGTCTGAATGTGTGCTCCGTTATATAACATTTACAATCAATACTGATATACTATGGAATGTTCAAAGCAAATTGAAATGGTACTGTTATTTAATTTTGTGTGTGAGGTTATTAGTATATTGTGATTATACTAGCTACTTCAATCCATATCCGCCGTATTCTTTGGCTGAAGTGTTATGAAAGGTTATCCAACATTTTGGATATTACTTAACACTTTTTAAAAATCGAGTAGCTTCCCCTTATTAAACGCAGCACCCATCGCGTAAAATTTAAAATTTAGGAACGAGGCGAAAAGAAAACATAATGCCAAATTGCTTAGTAAGTTAGGATAAACGTGGTACCTAGACAAAGAAATTAACAGTCATTAACAGTAACAAGCAATTATTTTTAAGTGTCACCAAAGACAATAATAACGTCGATAATTAACTGTTTTTTTTACTCTTTCAACCGTTTTTTTAGTTTTTTGAATTGTTAAATTAAAAAAAAAAACCAAAAAAAAAAACCAAAAAAAAAAAAAACCCACTACTAACACTTTTTAGACAACCTCTCATCCACCCACCCCAACATCAGCATCAATGAAGTTACCACCCCCCTGTAGTGTGACATCATTTTTGGCATAAACTCAAACCCGTAAATTTTTAAAAACAATATTAAATTAACAAATAAAAAAAGACAATAATTTCATTTTGAAAATAAAATACTTTTAATCGTTTTTTTAAACAATTTTTTTTAGAAATAAGATTATACTTCGTAATTATAATTGGTTATCATTATATTACAATACATTTTATGAATAATAATCTTATGAAACGAGCAAAGTTATGATTAATATAATCAATTCAATCTTTTCTTCGTGTTAGTAGAATATAATGATAAAACATCACACGAAGAATGAGGATGTCGAGACGTTTTTGTTGTTAATGAAATAACATATATGGATACAGAAGAAATGTTTACATTTTATGAATTAATTTCTTCCTTAACTGAGAGCTCAGAGAATAAATTGTGAACAAAACCAATGTATTGAATAGTGGCGAGACTAGCATGGGGCGTAGCTAGGGGAGGGCAGGTGGGGCGGTTGCCCCTGACGCCGTTTCAAGGGGACGCCAAACTAGTTCTGGGCAGCATTACTGCATTATGGAGGGTCGAAGTTAAGAAAATAGACTGCTATTTGGCTTTACAGACATACCCTGAATTGGGGTGTGGATGGGGGCGCTAACTTGAATAACGAAGTCTGAATAGGAGGGCGCAAAATTAATGGATCACCCCTGACGATGAAATGTGTCGCTACGCCCCTGGAGACTAGTGTGCAGGAGTGGGGTGGACAAGGTAAGCACGCCATAAATATAAACAGTGGTGGCTAAAGGTAATTGTAAATGGTGGAGGTGGGGGGGGTTAGGTATGGTCTATTGGCTATGGCTTATGGAATGCGTAAATATAAAATATAATCACAGTTTAAATAGCTGACAAAGTAAGGGTTAGTTTATTTAAAATCAAGTTTTTAATTACTGACATACAACTTACAATAGACACGCGCATCTACGAGGAGTGTGCATTGTAAATGTTCTTTAGTTTTTTAATGTCTTTTTTAAAAAATGTTGACGAAAGTTAAAATGAACTGACAGGTCATGAAGGGATGATTTAATGAAATAATTTAAAAGAAAAAATAACATTAAACATTTAAACAACAGACATACATAAAAACCTCACTGAAAAACAACAAAATTATGAACATATTTTGTTTTAACGTGGGCCCCGCATGTACGGCCTTCCAGCCCGTCACACATTGTACACATGTTGAACATATCGTACTGATGTCAGTGGCATACCCAGAAGGGTACCTTGGGTTTAATAACCCTTTCCCCTCCCATCCTAACAAAATCATGCCTCCGCCCTAGCAGTAGCCATAGATCTCGTTCCCAGGGGCGGATTCTTGATTACTCCTCCACCCTCCAAATTTTAAAATTATATGCAGCCCTTTCATCGTGACGCCACTGGCTACAGCATTGCATGTGACACGTTTGTTTCACCCTTGACGGCAAACCTCTGTCAGCCTACCACTTACAAACAGACGACACTTATTCTAGTAGACCTAAGGCTCAGGGCATTAAACTTTATCGCAATCTTTTATGGTTATGCAAAACCTAAGTCTTTATTTTTGTATACATAAAACTTACTTATCAATAAAACTAAAAATAGATTATGTAATGTCAGCGTGATTTTAAAATAAAATTAAAACTAGACCATAGTGTATGTCCTAATAAACTATATTTATATGCAACATAATGCCAACATAATGATATAACTTGAGATGCCCCAGACTCTAGCCCCATTTATTGAGATAGTATCACTGATAACGAAATTCCTGAACTTAAAAAATGTTTGTAAAAATATCAATGAATAAATTTGTGTGTGCTGATAATCAGCTTCTGACGAATTCCTGATGTATAAGCATAAAAATTATTACATATTTTTCTACATGTTATTTAAAACGATACTTTTATTTGAAACATATTTTTTTTTAAATTGGTAGAGCTCACTGAATCATACCATACGACATATATGAACACTTCACACAAGAAATGAATTTACAAAATGCATCACATTAAATTTCAAATGGAGAAGCGATTTCGATTCCATATGGTCACTCTTTTGATCTTCTGCCCCTTTTAAGGACGTAGAACAGTGGTTCTTAACCTTTTTGGAAGTACCGAACCCCACCAGTTTCATATGCGGTTTCATCGCACCCTTCTTATCAGTTCTATTTAGAGTTTCTTCCAGGCCACCACCCTCGGAAAACTTAGTCCGCCCACACCCCCCACCCGAAAATATCAAATGCCCCCCCCCCGGAGAAAAAAAGCATGGAAGAAACACTAGCTCTATCGTCAGCTCTAACAAATCTAATCATGAATCATATGAATCGGATGTGTGTTTTGACCAGAGGCGGGGGGGGGGGGGGGTACATATGTCCCCGATCGCAGACCCTTAGGGGCGCCAACATGAGTTGAAAAAAAAAAATTAAAAGCTCATTTTAGCTGCAGTTTTGCATTATAGATATAAAAAATATATGGGGGGGGGCAAATTGAAAGTTTGTCCCCGGGCGCCGGGAAGGGTCGCTACGCCTCTGGTCTTGACATCCGCCGAACCCCTGAGACAGGACGCTCCGAACCCCTGGGGTTCGAACGAACCCAGGTTAAAAACCACTGATATAGAACAAACTAAGCAAAGGCAACTCTAAAACACCGGAAGTTACTGTCCTTTGTTTACAAACACCTCCCAGCTCCACCGGGCTAGACGACGATGTACCCGCTGATGTTGGAGATGAGGACGATGATTCCAGCACCGATAACCAGACCGGCCGTGTGGAGGAAAGCCACGACCTTGGCCTCGCCGTTCCCCTGGTAGAGCAGGAGGTCAAGGTGGTTGCTCATGTCAGGCAGCTGGAAAAGGTCAAGGTCGAAGTTTTGTGTAAAAGGTGGTGGGGCACAGAGGGTGAGTAATCAAAGAGATATAACAACAGTTTCTTTCGGACAATTTGTGGGTGTGGTTGGGGGGGGGGGGGGAGGCACTTGCAATGTTGAATGGGTGGGGGGAACTTGAAATATCGGATGGGGGGGGGGGTGGCACTTGAAATTTGGAATGGGGGGGGGGGCACTTAAAAGATCGGATAGGGGAGGGGGAAGAAATGGGTGAAATTTGGAATGGATGACAGAGGGGGAGGGCACTTGAAATTTTGGATGGGTGGGTGGCTGGGTGGGTGGGTGGGTGGGTGGGTGGGTGGGAGACGGGTTGAGACTGGTTTAAGTATATTTTTTCAAAATAAATTTTACTTTTTCCCTATTTCGCCCGATGAGGGAAGGGGAGTGCTCCTTGGGGGGGGGGGGGGGGCATTGTTCCCTCCCGAAAGAAACTCCACATAATAGAGATCATAACTGTAGCGTATTGGAGATGGATCGGCCTTATGTTGTGACAAAAAACAACACCTTTGTAAAAAAGACAGAATTTTATGGGCTCCACATAGCAAAAGAAGGAAAGGGCTAACAAGGACTACATAGCGACGAATAGAAGAGACAGAATTGAAACCATTATATCAAAACTAAGAGGGGGGGGGGGCTAGAAAGTTGGCCAGAGCTTTGTTGCATCACTAGATGACATATCGAGTAGAAGGAAATAATGTAAACATCTTCATTCTAGAGTCAAATTATATTGGTGACCGTATTGAAGTTAAGTTTAAAATCAGGAGTGTGTCAGGATTAAAGTAAGAGCTAGAGCTACTATTTGAGTTGGGGGATCGTAGAAAAATTGTTTCAACAGGCCCTAATGGTATTTAAATAAGTATTGACGAGTTAAACTTTTGCTTCGACACTAGGTGCTCATGCAGACACACACAGACACACACAAGGGCCGACACACAAACACCCAGACTGACAGACACACAGAGACACACAGACGACAGACACAAACACACACACACAGACAGAATAGAGACCCACACACAGACCCATAGTCCCATACACAGACACCCAGAAAAACAGACAAACAGAGACACACAGACAGACAGATACACACACAGACACACAAAAACCCACACACAGACACCCAGACAGACACACACACGCAGAGACATACACAGACGCATACACAGACACACATACAGACACACACACGCACAAACACACATACATACATACACACAGACACACACAGACACAGACACAAGAAAGAGCTTACCATATCAACCAGAGGGACATACAAGAACAGGCCGCCGGCCACGGCAAATATCCACTGACTGGCTGTGGCAGATGTTGCACCCACCAATACCCCGATCACAAGGCCGACGTAACAGAAGAGGGCGGACAGGCAGTTGACAAAGAGTGACCGCTTGATGGACAAGCCAGAGTGCAGCAGGATTGCTATATCCGCTGTGGAATTGTGGGAGAGAAAGATATTTTGGTTATAGTCAGAAGTAAGGTTAGTCAGGTTTGTTGTTATGGATAAGGTTAGGTTTTGAGATGGTGTAAGGTAAGGTTTAGTAGTACATGTAATGTTCTATATCACTAATTGTCTTATTTTTCTTCCAACTAAGGCCAGGTACCCGTTAGGGCTGAGTGGACTACGAAATCGAAGCCGAAATCAATATCACAATTATGGGCGCTACCCTCAACCTGGCCCAGCGGTAGAGAGCTAGACTAATTATCCGAAAGTCTCGAGTTCGAATCCGGATTCAAGTCAGTAAACGTCCCTGAGTCCACCTAACTCTGATGAACACTTAACTCATGTTATGGAAAAAATAAAGGCGGCTGAGCATAGTGCTGACTACACTATCCCTTCATATGCCGAGGTCTCAGAAATAGATGAGCTCTACATGTCCTGTCTTGGGTACAAACGGGAAATGATGATGATCCACGCCGCTCCTTTTAGGGCAGCGATAATAGCCTAAGATTCTTACTCGTTCTGCAACTGTTACCAGTACCTAGAACACTTGGCTCATGTAGTGCCATTATCTAGAACAAAACACTTCCCTCACCCAGTTCGTGCGGCACCTCCTCACAACAAAACACTTACCTCACCCAGTTCATGTGGCACCTCCTCACAACAAAACACTTCCCTCACCTAGTCCCAACTGTCACCTCACAACAAAACACTTCCCTCACCTAGTCCCAACTGTCACCTCACAACAAAACACTTCCCTCACCCAATTCATGCGGCACCTCCTCACAACAAAACACTTCCCTCACCCAATTCATGCGGCACCTCCTCACAACAAAACACTTCCCTCACCTAGTACCAACTTTTACCCCGAACAAAACACTTCCCTCACCCAATTCATGTGGCACCTCCTCACAACAAAACACTTCCCTCACCTAGTCCCAACTGTCACCTCACAACAAAACACTTCCCTCACCCAGTTCGTGCGGCACCTCCTCACAACAAAACACTTCCCTCACCCAGTTCATGTGGCACCTCCTCACAACAAAACACTTCCCTCACCTAGTACCAACTTTTACCCCGAACAAAACACTTCCCTCACCCAGTTCGTGCGGCACCTCCTCACAACAAAACACTTCCCTCACCCAGTTCGTGCGGCACCTCCTCACAACAAATGGCCAGCGCGATGCTCATCCCCAGGGTGATGTCCTCTGTGAACGCCGCCCCAATGGACAGCCCGTCCACCGCCTTGTGCAGGGCGTCCCCCGCCATGATCATCCACGCCAGCGAGCTCTTGTCGTCCCCCCCATGGGAGTGGCCGTGGGCGGCCTGCTCAGCTTCCTCCTCCATGCTCTTGACGCTTTTCAGCGGCGTCTTCATATCCCCATCTGGTGGGTCTACTGTGATGGATTTAATTCTAAGGAGTTCCTAAATAATAAAAAAAAAACACTTGGCTTTTATTTCGGCAACGTAGAATATATCTGTAATTTCTATGGACGAAAGTCATATATTTACATATTCACTCCGATCAAAATGTTAGGAAACAATTAATTGAATTTATTAAAAACACTGCGACCCTTAACGACGGAAAAAGTCGATTGGAATCTTGAGCTGTTTTAAGTCGGTAGGCTCAGGTAAAAAAAAAAAAGAAAAAACTTTTTTAATACTCGTTAGAAAAAAAATTGTTTCTCTATAGCTGTTTTAAGGTACAACTGAATTATGTGTTTCCATAAAAAAGAATAGGTGGGAAAATATTGGTAACTATGACAACGGCGGCCATCTTGAAAAATTAACCCCTTCGTAGGTTTTCCACCTTTCATAAAATGTTACATTTTAAGCCCAATAAACAATGAATTCATAATCTTCTACCATATTTTCGGGTACTCGGCTAAAAATTTTAAGTGCATATCTTCAAACTAATTTATTATGAGTTTTCAAATTGTGGGTCCGTTAAAACTACTAGTTTTAATACCCTAAAATTCCCAAAATTTATTGTTTTCAACGGACCCAAATTTTGAAAATTCATACTAAATTAAAAGACTTACTACCAAGAACGCCGTTAAGTATACGCATATCTACAGAACTCATCCAGTCATACAAGGAATGGTAGCGTTCTAGCAACCTATATATGACCAGAGTTTCTTCCAGGCATCTCTCCGAAAATTTTTTACCGCCCCCCCGAACGAAATGAAATTTATATAATTTATATAGAAAATATATACTTTTAACAGTGTCCGCCACCCCCGAAGAAAGTTTACCGCCCCCCCCGAAGATTTCAAGTGCCCCCCCGGAGAAAAAAGTCTGGAAGAAACACTGTATATGACTTACTCTCAAACTAAAGCCAAGCTTACGCCGCCACTAACACGCATAGCTACAAAACTCATTTACTCATACAAGGAATGATGGAAGTCTATAAGCATATACATGACTTACTCTCAAACAAAACCAAATGATGCCAAGCTTATCTACAGAACTAGTGTACTCATTCTAGAAATAGTATCGGCCTGTCAAGCCTCTACGTGACTCACTCGTTTGTGTTTGGTTTGTTTGTGTCCTCAAAGTTTTGAGTACTCGCTCCAGACTGAAGAAGGCGTAAATACTCAACACAGCGGCCGTCGACTTCCACACGTAGTCGTCGCCGATCTCCTCTATAGCCATTAGATCAAAGGCCTGCAAAGACATAGATACATGTGCTCCTATATCTTGTATATATATATATATATATATATATATATATATATATATATATATATATATATATATATATATATACATGTATTTTTATACACGGAAAATGTATATATAAGTAGCAAGACAAAGACAAAGACACACATACACACAGACACACGGACAGAATCCACGAACACACAAGATCAAGGGTACACAAGCACCCAGACACGTAAACACACAGACACAGTCACATATACACACAGGACGCGCGCACACACACATATTATATATATATATATATATATATATATATATATATATATATATATATATATATATAATATATATATATAGGCCTATATATATATGAATGATATAAGCCTATGCTGCATAAATATTTATTACTACATATCAACCTTTTATTTAAACATTATATATATATATATATATATATAATATATATATATATATATATATATATATATATATATATACATCTCTCTCTCTCTCTATATATATATATATATATACCATATATATATATATATATATATATTTATATACACATTGTATAGTGTATATAGGAATGTGCCCAAGATCAAGCATTACAGGTGCAACTGGGACAAACCTCAGGTATCAGCACAATTAGACCTGTCGAGACTAGAGACCCTGCACCCATGGCAACCAGAAACTGCAGCAGACGTTTGAAGAACCGTTTCTGCATGATCGGTCCCAGGCAGGCGCCGATGTTTGAGATTAGGATGATGACCGTCACAAAACCGATGCTGTAGCCCCAGGCTGTTAGTGGGTGGGGGGGGGGGAAAGGGAAGAGTAGGTAGACATTGAATGGATGAAATAAATCAGATCAGACACATTCCAAAAACAATCTGAATTAAGATTAAGATCACTTTTATATGAATTACATTTTAAATTCAAAATGGGTACAATCACTCTGTTTACCGTGCGATTTTTCAAAATATGATATTGTAAAACATAAATGGTACGTCATTGTCTTATAATACCAGATTTAATTAAAATTTTATTTCTTTAATCTTTACTGAACCTTGCTATAAACAGCAAGAAGAAGCATTGTCTCTGTGTTAAAGCAAATGAGCAATACTGTATGAATTATGTCCCATTGTGTAATATTGGATGGAATTATATCCCTTTGTTGCATTTACATGATTTATGTCCCTTTGAGAACTAGTATGTATCTTGATGCAATAAAAGCTTTATCTGATACTAATAATAAATCGTGTAAGATCTCTAGCCAGATCTTAACCTATGAGGTAAAGCTCCTTTATACTGAGAACTACTTATATGCTGGTGATGTACACCTCATCGCCTCTATAAGTAAACCTGTACTGTCAAGCCATTGAGGTCCACAGAACACACCAATAGGACGTTGACTTTGGAACTAGGTCAAGGACTGAAGGTCAGGTCAAGAGTAAAAGTGACTGGGTTGGATAGGATTCTTACAGTACTGTTTCTTCAGTACTTCTTCTTTTAACGTGTTGTGTTTTAATGTGTGTGAGTGTGTGTGGTGTGTGTTTAAGTTGTAGCATTGTCATTTATGCCATGTTGTCTAAACATCAACCGTTTTCAAGGACAAATTCCAATACTAAAGCACTGACAATATCTGAAACACTTTGTCCAACCATTGACAATAATATCAGCGTTTCTTCCAGACTTTTTTCTCCTTTCTTCGGTGGGGGGGGGGGGGGGGGGGGGGGCGGGGGAAGACTACATTTTTGGGGAGGGGGCGACTCTGGTAAAAGTAAATGTTTTCTATATAATTTTCCATTTTCGTTCGGGGGTGGGGGTGGGGGTGGGGGTAGACTTTATTTGAGAGGAAGCCTGGAAGAAACTCTGAATAATATAGCAGACCTTTTTCATTATATTGACTGGTATCTATGGTAACGGGGGTCAGTATTTTTAGAATCTGACCCCTACAGTAACCAACATGCTGACCACAAGAAAAGTCTGTCACGTGGTGACGTGTGGATGGAAATGACCTTTGACCCCGTGTGTTTAACCTTGCGCCATGGTGGGTTTTTTGCTTCAGTCTGCCATGGTACATGACGTCACTGGCGCCCTCCGAGCAGTTCGCTGACGTCAGAGTGTTCAGCGCCACCGGAAGTGCCTCGATGAATCCATCTGCCCTGAGGTTGCCCGTCGACTGCGAGATGATCGAAGATCTCAGCGATGCCCGGGCACTGGAAGAATGAGATGTGTTATAGCAAGTATAGCAATAAAGTATAGCAAGTATAGCAATAAAGTATAGCAACATTTTGAAACAAGGTCGTGTGGATCACACTTTTAGGGCTGGCGGTCTATACGGCGGATAGTACATCAGTTTTGTGACATGGGATCTAAGCAGAGGCCGTAGCGACCCTTCCCGGCGCCCGGGGACAAACTTTCAATTTTGCCCCCCCCCCCCCCCCCCCTTATATTTTTAAAATATTTATAATGCAAAAACTGCAGCTAAAATGATCTTTTATTTTTTTTTTCCAACTCATTTTGGCGCCCCCTAGGGTTGGCGCCCAGGGGACCATATGTACCCTACCCCCCCCCCCCCTTGCTACGCCTCTGGATTGAAGGGGTTGTATGATCCGAGACCTGTCATTTTCTATTTCACCATTCGAATCGGTTAGCCATCAATACTGTGATGAACACAGCCTAGCGACTTGTCCAGGAACCGAAACTCACGGCTTTAAGATTAGATTCGTGTGTTCTAACAGCCAGTGTTTCTTTGTGGCATCCGCCCGTAGCACGTCTACTGCCCCCTTCCCGAAGGAAAAAGAATTCATATAGAAAATATATACTTTTATTAGTGTTTCCCCCCTTCCCAGGAAAATTAAGTCCATCATCTTCCCCCCCCCCCCCCCCCCCGAAAGTTTTAAGTTCACCCCCGGAGAAAAATGTCTGAAAGAAACACTGATCGCGGCTTGAGGGACATAATATAAATAACGTATTTTTCTTTATTTTCCCACCCTACTTTCGAAGCTGCAGCTAGAATTTCTTTCAGGCATCTGTTGGGGAAGGAGAAGGGGGGTGTTAACCGCCCAAAAAATGTCTACTGCCCCCTCCCCCCCCCCCCCCCCCCCCCTCCACTAGGAGAAAAAAAGTCTAAAATAAACACTGACAACAGCGTACCTAATCATAATTTTAATTTAGTGAGTTTTTTTTTAGCGTCACACCAGTACACAATATTTTTGTCTAGTGGAAAAAAGTAAACAACCAAGGGGCACTTGATACTTTCGGAGGGGGCGGTCAACATTTTTTCGGGGGGGGGGGGGGGGGCGGACACTAGTAAAAGTGTATGATTACTATATAAAATATACCTCGTTCGGTGGGGGGGGGGGGTAGACTTTCTTCGGGGGGGGGGGGCTTTCCACCCCCCCCCCGAAGAGATGCCTGGAAGAAACTCTGTAAACAACCCTTATGATTCTTACATTCCACAGAGGAAGGCATCATATCAGCACTATACCCAGCCGTCTTTACTTTCTCTAATGTGAGTCAGGTACCTATCAGTGCTGGGTCGACTCAGGGACGTCAATCCCGGATCCGAACTAGAGACTATCGGGTTATCAGTCGAACACTCTACCACACCGTTCCATTTCGTCTACTGTCTGCGGTAAGTGCCGTTCGTATGGGGGTAAAACATTACAATTCTGGTCCTGGCGTGTTCAAACTATTGTAAAGACGACGATGTTCGGAGACGGCCTAATGTGTCCGCAAATCTGACTTTTAGAGTTAAAATACTTTTGTATTAATTTTATTTGGTATCCTTTGTATTTATTAAAAAAAACATTGTACTAAGAACTGTTCGATCTCGGCCTACTTTTGTACTAAGCTGTTTTTAAACGTTAATATATTTTTAAAGACTAGAGACTAGACTGTTATTTCACATTAAAATAAAAAAAAATATAAAAAATACAAATTTTGATATGTAAATAAAATTCAACTCAAATTTCTTATTTTCCACTTGACTTTATGGCGCTGATCAACTTTCCGGCACTTGAGAAACGTAATAAATTTTTTTTTACTGCTGAGGACGAACGCTTGTAAACACACAAGACAAAGGGCGCCTGTCAACATGTTTGTCTATCTTTGTAGCTAACCGATAAACAGCGATCTTAAGGGGTCATGACCCCGGAATTACAATCTTTAATTAACCGATAAACAGCGATCTTAAGAGGTCATGACCCCGGAATTACAATCTTTAATTAACCGATAAACAGCGATCTTAAGAGGTTATGACCCCGGAATTAAAATCTTTAATTAACCGATAAGCAGCGATCTTAAGAGGTCATGACCCCGGAATTACAATCTTTAATTAACCGATAAACAGCGATCTTAAGAGGTCATGACCCCAGAATTACAATCTATAATTAACACTAATGGCTTTAGCTTTTTAATTAGGAGGACGAACCGTTATGATGTATAGAACTTCAACATAGCTTCATTGTAGTAGTGGTTCGTTCTTATGTTTATACTAATTTTTATACTACTTTTTACGGCTAAGAAATTGAGCAAAAATGAAAAAACAAATGCCGTAATAGCCTGTGTTCCGTTACTAAGATATAATGAACGAAATAATAATAGTCAAAAGATATGTAGTCACAAAAATAATTTTAAAAAAGTCGCATGAAAAAACTTTCTAGGAAAAAGTTACATGTATTAAATTAAAGTCTATACAAGAGATAACAGGAGACAAAACTTTAAGAAGAAAACTTTATGGGAAGTAATTTACAGGAAAATTGTCACAGTAAAAAATCACCAGGAAGAAAAAGTTAGGTGAAGTAATTTACAGAAAAATAGTCACACAAAAAAAATGTCACATGGAAAAAGTAACTTTAGGAAATACTTTACAGGAAATACAATACAGGTAATAAGTCAAAGGAAAATTGCGACAAGAAAATTTATCGTTCAAGAAAATGGTACAGGAAAAATTATCACAGTAAACATTCATCAGGGAAAAAGGGTAAGGGGAAGTAATTATCAGGAAAAAAGGTAGGGGGGGGGGGTAATTTACAGAAATATAGTCACAGAAAAACAAAATGTTCACTGAAAAAGTAAATTTATCTTCGTGATGTTTTGTTCCCATTTACCCTTTTATGCACCTAATTTAGCATTCAGTTACGACATCATGCCATAACTTTTCTTAACCAAACCCTCCACGATTGGATCTCACCTTCTTCTTCGTTCTTAATTTTAGTGTTGGAAGAGATCCCCTCAAACAGAATTAAGTTATGCACCATTGAGGCCATTGACTCCGATTTCAGCCTGCTTTTATATTTTGGATTTGTTTCCATAGCTTTTGCTCCAACCAAGAAACAAACTACAAAGCAGCAGTTGTTTAATTTTGGAGTTGTCTCTCCTAGAAGAGTGGCTGTCCCCAGCTAACGAGCCTCATCTGCCCGAGGGTTCGAACTCGAGACTTTTCGGTTTAGCAACCACGAGCTTTACCGACTCGACCACGCCGACCCCCAGATCTCCCCCACTCACCTCAGATTTCCACGAACAGTTCCTGTCCTCCCTCTTGCAGTCTCCCACCAGGTTGTCCAAGAACTCCACCGAAATGGGACGTGGCGCCTGCCAACAAACTGAAAAACTCGCCGGACGTTAGACCGCGAGATTGAAATCTGTCCTATTCACCGAGTACCTCCTCATCAGTTCGTCTGCGGCCTCGCTGACCGTTATCCCTGCTGGATCGTCTGCTTGTATTCCAATGAAGATTGGAAGTATGAATAAAAAAACTCGTAGGAAATTTGCTACATTTCCCATTTTTAAAAAACTTAAGTTAAGTTGTATAATAAAAAGCGTCTTCTTGTTTTAAACAAATGAAAAGCTAACAATATTTGTACATCTCCCATCCAATACTACACGGAAAACTACAGTGTCTCTAAGGGGTTCGCGGACGATTCTTTTATATCTCCAACATGGAACATCACGTCCATAAAAATATAAAACCATCATCAACTCAACAGGCGCTTATTGTTGCTGTTTTGGGGTGTCTCTGTCTAAATGTGTAGACACGATATAAGTTTATGGGTACTTGTGGGGGCGAAAATAGCTTAGGTGTTGTAAATCTTGACTTGGTTGGTGAACTGTGACACGCCATCCCTACCCCATCGCGTACCGCTAAAAAAACACCCGAACTTTAACGCTTTACATATCTCTTAAAGTATAGTGTCGGAGTTTTATTTAGTACGTGGAGTTAAATGTAAAATTGGTACGTGAAATTAAATGTAAAATTAGTACGTGAAATTAAATGTAAAATTATTACGTGAAATTAAATGTAAACTAAAGACTTTTTGTGATAGATGTTCGGAAATTGTAATCTCAATTTAATTTCGCCAACGAAAAAAAAAAATCATAATCACATAATTGGAATTTAAGCACCGTTGGGGTTTTGACGCCTTTTAACAAGCAATAAAAAAAGAACTACCTTAGATTTGATTCAGGAAAGTTTCATGTTTCCGGTATCCAAAGAAAACGCGTCACTGATTCCGATAGCTATATACGGAATGCAGACAATGAATTTCGAGGAAATATGCAGAATAATGTTTGAAGTTCAAAGCTAATTTAATATTAATCAGTCTTGTGATCCAAAATACTGGCTATGTGCAGGTTTGTAAAGATCCAAGAACAATACAACAAAAATATGTGCCGTATGACCCTTTTACTGACATAACATTTATTTGCTAATACTTCGTTATCTACTCTTTTGTAATTATATTATCATCGTTTCCCTTTCGTGCTTAAGACACATGAGTTAAATGAAGTAGAGTTAATCTGTTTCAATGACCTCGGCATGTGAAGAAATAGGGTGGTCAGAGCTTCGCCCAGCCGACATTGTTTCTCTAACGTGAGCCAGGTACCCATCACAGCTGAGTGGACTCAGAGACGTCCTGCAGGCTCGAGTCCAAACCAAGTTCTGAATTCTGTACCAGAGTTTCTTCCAGGCCTACCAATCCCCCCCGAACGAAATGGAAATTATATAAAAAATATATCCTTTTAACAGTGTTTCCTCCCCCCTCCCCCATCCCCGGAAATTTTAGTCCGCCGCGCCGAAAAAAGTCTGGAACAAAAACAGTTCTAGACCTGCTGAATAATTGTATATAGTGGTATTTAAATTAATCTTCAAAGTATGTCTAAGATCAAGCCTATCGGAAGAATGCATAACTGAATCCTCCCCCCCTCTTTTACTAGGTAACTCTTCTAGGCAATTCTTTGGTTGTTCCCCTTAGCGAGTTGCGGACAGACGAACTTAACGAAATTCTTCTTCTTTCTTTGTTCTTAATTTTAGTTTTGGAAGAGACCCCCTCCAACACAATTAATTATACGTGTCAAATGGTTATGCGCTATAGGCCGTTGACTCCGATTTCAGCCTGTTTTTCTTTTTGGATTTGCTTCTATAGCTTTTGTCCAACCAAGAACAAATTACAAGGCAGCAGTTGTTTGATTTTGGAGTTGTCTCTCCTAGAGAAAGTTGCTGCTAACGAGCCTCATCTACGAAATTAATGTATAGGATTTATATCTAGTTGGTCTGAAATTGAGAAACTCTTACATTGACATCGGAGATGCACTTATCTTGGGATACATGAAGTAAAATGCTGCATTGCAAGTAGGACACAATAGGCGGATTGACCACAAACGACAAACATTGTATTTTGTAACCTATGTAAATGCTTATAGACAAGCTGTAACGTTATATCTAATACCGCTTAAAAAATTTCAAATTGATTAATTAACCCATATAATTGACTACTAAAATAACCCACGATCAGCAAGCAACTTTGGATCTATATTTAGTGAAAAACCTTATCACTAAGATTCACTCCCCTCCCCCCCCATTCCAGCCCAGAGTAATGGGACTTGAAGCTGATTTTACGGCCACTTGATGTAACCGTCAGAAACTGTAACACATTCAAAAGTTCATTTGTTGCGGAGCGGCTACCAAATTTATCCCCGTACCTGCGTAGCTGGTGATACGACACCATTTGACCGTCACGTGCGTAGTGCCATGAAGGTTTTTAAAAGTTTGTCTTTACAGAGCCGGTTCTTGAAGTTTGCCCCAAACATCTATTTCAACCCTCCCCCCGCTCTTACGAAGACTTCCGTCACACAACCTCCCTCCAACATCCTTCACAAAGACCCCCAAGCATGTCTCATAAAGACCCCCTCCATAACATATCTTACAACCCCTCCCCCCCAAAGCCAAGCATCTCTTAAAAAGACCCCTCAAGAATCTCTCATGAAGACACCTAAATTTCCGCCTCACAAGCCCCCCCCCCCCCCCAAAAAAAATCCCCCACAGACCGCCTAAACATCTCTCACACCCCAAGCATCCTTCACAGCCCCCTCCCCTTCATATCTCACGAAGACCCCTTGGCATCTTTCACAAAGACCCCTAGAAGTCTATCACACAAGACTTCCAAATCCGTGACAACTGTCACACGACCCCCACTCCCTACCCCTCAACACAGCTTTCTAATGTTAATTTTTTTTCAAAAGCAATTTATGAGTTTGGTCTTATATTAAAATAGAAAATGTTTGTTTAAACTCTTAGTGACGTCAACGCTTTTCATACAACTTATATACTTACACTAACATAAATTATGCTAATAGGTTATCTATTTTCGCTCCAAACGAGGCTCTTGACACTGCTTTCAGACACAAGTCACGAGGTCGCAGGTTATTTTTAACTCTCCATTTTACAACACCCCTACTATACCTTCTATTTATATTTAATGGGGCTGTACATTGACCCAAGCCATTATAAAAAAGCTATATTTAGACATAATTTAACCTCGTTCTGAAAAAAAAATGGCAGATACTGAGTTTGGAGGATTTGTTATAAATTAAGGATATTATTTTGCTCATATATTCCTAGATGGAAAATTTCAGCTATTAAAGTTCAATAATAAAATAAAATAGAGTTGACTTTCATGATTTCCATTACTTTTGCGAAGTCAGACACGTAGGTCCCAGGGACTTAATGAAATTTTTATCTTTCTTATCTAAAAGTCAATTGAAAAGGTGATGTAGAGTTCTCTTGCTCTTTAAAAAAATATTTGGTATATTAAGTATAGTAGGGTATGTTATGCGTCAAATCGCATTTAATTTCCTTAACTTAAAGTTAGTGCTTTTAACGGGAGCACAATTTTGAAAAAAAGCTAAAAACAAAGATTTTTCTATCTATCTATCTATATATATATATAAATGAAAGTTTGTGTGTGTGTGTGTTTGTCTTTTATACATATGAAAAGCAATGTATGTCTGTTTGTTTGTTTGTCTTTTATGTATTACTATACCTTTCATCCATGAAACTTTAGTAAGATGTTAAAAATACTCCTAGAGAGGTTTCTGCGAAAAAACAAACAAGGGCAGAGCCCCTAGGGTGCCAGGCGATTCTTCTTTGGGGAGTTGATGAGAATACTCCAGGGGAGGTTTCTGCAAAAATATATTTTTTTAAAAAGTTCGCCCGGAAGGGTCCGATTTTTCTCAATATACGGTATATATAAAAAAAAGTCGGATGCGGTTTGATACCGTTCATCCAAGTGCCATGACATTTTGGGAGTGAGCTGAAAATACACCCGAGTAGGTTTAGGCGAAACAAAAATTTCTTGTGGACGGTGCCCGGTAGGGTGTGATGTTTGTCAATACATGGTTTGGTGCCCTGAGTTTCAGAGCGGCTATCTTAGCCCTTGGTATCCGTTAAATGCAAAGCGAGTACGGGTTACTACTATATTCAGCGGTAAAACTGCATCAGGCGCCTGTGTTTGTTTTAAGGAGTGCACGGACTATGGATACAATGGGTTGCTATAGTCGCTCACTTAATCAAATCATACGCGTCCCGTAAGTCTCGGGTTCGAATCTCGGAAGTCCCTTAGTCCACCTAGCATGATGTAAAGGCACATGTAAAGTAAAAGTAAAATTCCCTTTTCAAACCTGGCGGTCTATGGGGCAAGTGAAGTAGAGTTCAATTGTTTCTGTGACCTCGGCACTATGCCCAGTCCTAACGTGAGTTAGGTACCCATCAGAGCTGGGTGGACTCAGGGACGGTCTACTGACTTGAACCCGGATTCGAACTCGAGACTTACGGGTTAGTAGTCCAGCTCTCTACCGCCAGGCCACCCGGTCCCATACCTGGCACATGTAAGGGAAAACAAAGGAGGCTGGGCATAATGTTGAACATATTATCCTTCATATGTCAAGGTCATTTAACACCTAACCCATTTGTGTTCGGCACGAACGGGAAAAGAGGATGAAATTAATAAAAACTTTTACCAGTAAAATACGTATATAGTTCTTATACTAAACTCCTAAAAAATAATCTTTATTTACAAATATAAACTGCAATTATTTAATTCTGTTAAATGTGGTAAATATAAAAACAGTTAAGGCTGGAACAAGCAATGTGACGAGCCAGCTACCTAAAGACAATATGGCAATGACTCTTGGAGTACCAATAACAATCAGGCCAAGTTCACACTTCAGAATTAACCGAACGCCGCTCCTTAATGGCAGCGACATTTCAAAACCAAAATAGATTTTTTACTGCTGGTTGTCATTTTGTTTACCCGGTGTCACCCCAACTTGGTGGCCTAATTTTTTTGTACTACAACATGAGTGATGGGACGGTGTGGCCTCGCGGTAGAGAGCTAGACTGCAAACCCGAGAGTCAATAAGGGTTCAAAACTGTGGAACGTCCATGAGTCCACCCAGGTCTGACGGGTACCTAACTCACGTTAAGGAAACAAAGGCGACTGGGCATAATGCTGACAATTTAATATGCCGCGGTCTCTGAAGCAGTTGAACTCTACTTCATCTGCCCCATGTATCTTGGGCACGAACGGAAATGATGACAAAGTGAGTAAATTAGGATAACATGCTGTCGCTTGCTTAAGCCATTAGACGCTGATGATGTAGGTGGTAAGAAGTAAACTAAACTCGAGAAATAGTGCACCTAAACGGTTACTTGATGAGTTTTTATACTAAAATATTTAATAATGAACAAGCATTAGTGATTCTCTACACAGTTAACCCTGACTCCGAAAATAGTCCTAAGCCTTATCTTAACTCATTTTAAGACTTAAGTATACAATATGAAATTACCGACGATATATGTCGCCAAATCAAATCGTTAACAGCTAACCCATTTTATTAGGGCTTAAAATATTCTAAAGAAGAAAAATGTAGTGGAGTGAATAAGAGGCAATAAAATGTAAGAATAAAGTCTAGAGCTCTAAGCCTGCCACTTTAGCGCTGAGGTGTTTCTTATCTTAGTCTAAAACACAATACGTCGATGTGAATAAAAGTACATCTAACTCCATGTTGAAATTTATAGCAGCTCTTTATGGAAGGTTATAAATAAAATTAGGGTAATAGGTACTTAGGATCAGATATACCTAATGGGTACCTGAGGCAACCCAGCTCTAATGGGTACCCGAGTACACCGAGACCCGATGGGTACCCGAATCCTCTCAGCTCTAATGGGTACCCAAGTCAATCCAACAATACTGAGTACCCGAATCCACCCAGGGTAATAGTTTCTCGATTCCCTAATGGGTAACTAAGTACACCCAGCAGTAATGGGTACCTAGGTTCACTCAGTCGTAATGGGTACCCAAGTCCACCCAGCTTTAATGGGTACCCAAGTCCACAGAGCTTTAATGGGTACCCAAGTAAACCCAGCTTTAATGGGTATCCAAGTCCACCCAGCTTTAATGGGTACCCAAGTCCACCCAGCTTTAATAGGTACCCAAGTCCACCCAGCTTTAATGGGTACCCCCCGTTCAACTCTAATGGGTACCCGTCCGTCCAACCCTAATGGGTACCCGAATCCACCTAGCACTTTTGGGTACCTGGGTTCACTCAGCACTAATGGGTACCTGGGTATAATACGTAACATTATGACATTTGTTCATGAATGCACAAACCTTACGATCCGATTACAAGAAACAATTAAACTCTCCTTTATGTGCCTGCCGTAAACGGGAAAGGGTACTTTACTTTTTAAAACAATTTTGTAGACAAAGTATGGCGGTGGGACATAAACAGATAATTGTTTCAAATATTTGATGGTTATAAAAATTATTTGTGAAAATTTGTTTTGTTTTTATAATCGGATAAAATAGCTGTAAGGTAATTGTGGTTGAGTGCGGTGTTTAAAAGTTTACGGTCAAAGGGGCATAACAATGTAAATTTGTTTATTCCTTATCATTTTTCAAATGGATTAAACTATCGTTTATAAAAAAAAAGGTTTATTACATTTATACATTTTTTAATTAAAACAAAAAAGTAAACTGTTGTTTTAATAATGATTAAATATAATATATAAATTACTTATTTTTTTTTAATTTAGGAAATAATCAGTATGGAGTTAAAAAACAAAACCAAAACAATTTCATGGTTAACTCCCTTTGACAATTTAAAATATTTTTGCCAAGAATTAAATAAACAAGCCAGAAATTCAAATAAAAAAGTGTGAAGATTTGAACGATTTGAGTTTTGTTTTTTTAACAAACAAGATTTAACATTCCGTCAGAAGAAAACAAGGGTGCAGCGGAAGTTATACAAATTAATACGACCGAGTATTACAAATATATAAATATAGCAAAATATCACTATATTTTAATAAACATATAAAGTACGTTTGAATTTAACGGCTAACCCCTTAACCTAATAAACAGTCACACCAAAGCTGACTAATTAGATATTGATTACAAGTCCTAGTTTTTCCTTAAATAAAATTTTAAACTCAGGTTTTAGCGTGTAGCAAGTACTTGTAAACTAAACAACCTACAGATCACCCAGAACACAAGGATCACCTACACCCTACAGATAATCTACAGTCTACAGATATCTTTAAACCAGCAACCCAAACACACAGCCCAACAAAGATGAAACTTTTTGTTTACCTCGCACTTCTCATCATCTGGTCTCTAGTTCTCATTAAAGAAGGTGAATATTTTAATAATTAAATTAATTAAATATTGAAAAAACTGATAATTCTCTTTAGTTGTGAATGATTTAGTGTAATAACGTATGGGGGGTCGTCCATAAATGACGTCACACTCGTAGGGGGGAGGGGGGGGGTCCGTAATTTTGTGACGGTGTGTGATGAGGGGGAGGGGGGGGGGGAGTTCAGATGGTCGACGTCACACTTTTGCATTATAAAAAAGCAATGTTAGAAAACGAATTTTAGACGTTATTTCGCGTTTTAGAAAACTTTTAATAAATTGTAATAGGAATTTATTAGAATACTCTATTCTCAGACAAGATTTTGAAAAAAAAATCGATGTTTAAAAAAAAATTCAACTGTAATTTTGAGGGAGGGGGGGAGGGTTGTAGGCTGAGGTAGGTGTGACGTCATTTTAGGAGGGGCGGGGTCTGGCTTTTTGTGACGACGTGTGACGGAGAGGGAGGGGGGAGGTAAAAATCGTCAAAAAAGCGTGACGTCATTTATGGATGATCCCTAGGGTAAAAACGTATGCCCTTAAAATGTGGTCGTTCATATTATTTTATGGTAGTATTGTAAGACATTAAACGAGTGATTTAAAAAAATAAAAAGCTAAAACTGAAGTTTGTTTTATATATATATATATATATATATATATATATATATATATATATATATATATATATATATATATATAATGGTATATAAAAATATGTATTTAAACTAATTTATTCTTTTGTGTCGTTAATCCAGGTTTTGCAATGCCCCCCTGTATATTAGGGAAAGAGGCTTGTCTGTAAGTAGCTTGTATAATTATTTTCATTTTAAACCAATTTTAATTTTTAACGCTTGTTTCGTCATTAAGTATCAATTATTGTGGTTCGTCCTCATGTTTTTAAGTGTAGCATAAAATAAAACAATTTTTTTTCAACTCTTGAAACTCTACGATAGAAACCTTTTCACTGTCGCGTATTTATTGTGTATTGTATTAGCTTTTATTAATGTAGATGTATATTTCACCTACATTATGTAAAAGCCGGTATTCTATAGTATTCCGAAGCAATGTATATAATGTAATTATAATTCTTTACAATGCTTAAATAATTTATGTAATGCCTACGAAAAGTAGCCTATATAACAATGCAAATATTTCATACCTTGCCTGAAAACGACAGGGTTTGTATACATTGCCTAGGTATTCTATAGAATGCCGAGTTTTCATCATTTCTGGTAACATATACATTGCCTGGGTAGAATGCCGTGTTTTTATACATTGCAGGTATAATACATGTATATTTTATTTATTGACACTAGTATGTATACCTTAATATACATAAATATGTACACTACATATATTTTTGTCTCATCCACAGGACCTATTTTCACTATGACAAGGCGTGGTGTAATATTTGTCCATTTTGAGTGACAACATACACAAATACAAATGGACAGAGATACAAGAGCAATACAACTGGCTAATTAACTTCTGATTTGAGAAATTCATTAACATTTTCTGAAATAAAGAGCTGAAAGTATTTTGAAAGGTTGTACTGTTAAAATAAGTATTCGGATATTTAAAGTTAATGCATGTGTGTACGTATATTAATATTTTTTTTCAGGGTGTTGTCAAACTAATTTTAAGGTAGACACATTTTTGTGGAACTCAAACTTTAGATAAAAGTGTGAACCGAAGAAAAGCTCATTCAAAAGTTATTTTAAACAACAGAGAAACAGATTACATCAGTGAGTACATAATCATCTTTTCCCGTTCGTTCCATGACACACGGGGCAGATGAAGTAGAGTTCATCTGTTTCAGAGACCTCGGAATATGATGTGATAGTATGACCATCCTTTGTTTTCCCTAACGTGAGTTAGGTATTCATCAGAAAAGGGTTGACTCGGGGACGTTCAACTGACTTGAACCCGGATTCGAACTCGAGGATTTCGGGTAAGCAAATTTCCGCACTAACGTTAGGTCACGCCGTTCCAACCACTGAGTACAGTGATATTTATTTATTCGATAAAATAACTTTCCGTGCCAAAAGTTATTTTTGGTACGAACATTCATACTATCTACCTATCGCAAATCTTGCATAACTAACGTATCCAAAAAAAAAAAAAAAAGAATTGCTAAAACCTGCTGAAGGAATAATACTTTTTATTCTTAATGGTTATGCTGGACGGGATTTCCTCCAACACAATTAAATATAACGAGTCAACTTGTTTTCCATTGACTCCAGTTTCAGTCAGCTTTTCTTTCTGGGTTGCGAATTTAAAAATAAAAAATAAAACTCGATTTTACATGCAGTCAACATAGGAAAGAGTGCAGTAGAATTTACACTAATTTATATAATTGTATATAGGCCTAACAATTTATAAATATAAGAAAATATCATAGTATGTTAATAAACAAATTAAGCACGCTTTCAACTGAACGGCTAACCCCTTTACCTATTAAGCAGTAACACCAAAGCTCACTAATTAGATATTGATTGAATGTACGAATTTTTCCTTAAACTCAGGTTTCAGTGTGTAGTGAGTACTAGTAAACTAAACAACCTACATATCACCCAGAAAAAAAAATATCACCTACAGTCTACATATCAGCAGCAGCCCACACACACAGCCTAACACAACCAGCAGCCCACACACACACAGTCCAACAAAGATGAAACTTTTTGTTTACCTTGCCGTTCTCATCATCTGGTCTCTGGTCCTCATTAAAGAAGGTGAATATTTTAATAATTAAATTAACATTCTTTATCTACAGTTAAAATATATGGCTGGACAATTTAGGGCAGTGTTTAGGGCAGATTGTATTCTCCGTGCCACCCTCCCCTCCCTCGCACCCCCCACCCCGATATATAACCTGAAAGCAACACTGATTTAGAGAAAAACGCATACCCGTAAAAGTGATAGTATTATTTACCGATTTAAAAAAATCACTTGGTTACAGTTGTACAGATTTGTTTTAGTTTAGGTAACCTTCAGTCCCATGGGATCGCTTGTTGCATCTGTATTGTAGCTTCAAGACAGAGGCGTAGCGACCCTTCCCGGCGCCCGGGGACAAACTTTCGATTTGCACCCCCCTCTCGAACTTTTCATTTGCACCCCCCTCAAACTTTCGATTTGCACCCCCCCACCCTCGAAATTCTCATTTGCAACCCCCCCCCCTCAAACTTTCGATTTGCAGCCCCCCTCAAACTTTCAATTTGGCACCCCCCCTAAGGTCGGCGCCCAGGGACATATGTCCCCCCCCGCCCGCCCCCCCCCCCCCCCCCTAGCTACGCCTCTGCTTCAAGAGTATTTGGCCGTCTTAATTTTGTTTCCTGGTGTTTTATCCACAGAAGCTCTTGGCCAACAATCGCCATTGTCTGTTTAACAATTTGACCCCCAGTATAGGGCTGGTAAGTAGGTCGCCAACCAGTTATATGGCTCATGCAGGTTTTATTGAGCCGTAGAACTGGTTGGTGACCTACTTACCAGCCCTATACAGTAATTCGTTCTTTTTGTACCCCCCCCACCCTCATCCGATCATCTTTTTGTATGCTCATATTAACTCACAATACTATCATAACACAGAAAACGTATGATCGTTAAAAATAATAATACTGTATAGCATTAACGCTAATATAATTGAACGAACTATAACATTATATGTAATATAATGATATACAATACAATATGTATTTAAACTACCTCATTCTTTTGTGTCTTTAATCCAAGGTTTGGCGATGGCCCCCTGTATATTAGGGAAAGAAGCTTGCGTGTAAGTAGGACATTTTATACTGTAGAATCTTCGACAATTATATTATTTTAAACATATTTTAATTTTAAACGCATGGCTCGCGGGGCCGGCGCTACCTATAAGGGGTCATCCATAAATGACGTCACGCTTTTTTTGACGATTTTTACCCCCCCCCCCCTCCCCCTCATCACACACCGTCACAAAATTTAGGACCCCCCCTCCACCCTACGAGTGTGACGTCATTTATGGATGACCCCTAAGGCGAACAAGGCGGTCCCTTAGGGCGCCATCCATAGTTGGCGCAAAATGTTTAATCGCTATTATCAAAAAGGTACTTAATAATTAATAACTTTTATAAAGGACGATCTATCAATGTTGCACCCCCACCCCAAAATTAGGTCTATATAGGCCTATATTTATTCGCGATGGTGAAAATGGAACCCTACCTCCCTAATTTGGAAAGATCGGGGCGCTTTTTACCATTCACTTTGTCTTTTTAATTTGGTGTCACATAATTAATGTAGAAAACGACTAAATAAGTTCGTTATTTAAATTCCGAACATTTCAAACGGTTATTTAATTTTTATAGGGCTTGTAAGTCTCGTTCTTTCTGACCAGAGTTTCTTTCAGGCATCTCTTTTTTACCGCCCCCCCCCCCCCCCGAACGAAATGAAATTGATATAATTTATAAAGAAAATATATACTTTTAACAGTGGCCGCCCCCCCCCCCCCGAAGAAAGTCTACCGCCCCCCCCCCCCCCGAAAATGTCAATCGCCCCCCCCCCCCCCCCCGGAGAAAAATGTCTGGAAGAAACACTGTTTCTGACTTTGAATTAGAAATCTGTCCTGGTGTACAGAGTTTTGTAATGACGGGGTGTTTAAATTATTGTATTTGTTTGGTAAGTTTTGATGAATCGTTTAGATTTGGGAGTAACGGCGGAAGGCAGTTGCTGATATGGTTTTGTAGGTATAAAGTATCGAAGTGTTTCATAATTTTTATTCAGCTGTTTGTAGTTGAAGGTCTAGTGGAATCTGATTGGTAATAGAGAAATGAGAATGTAGGTGATGAAGTATCGTAGTTCTGGAGTTCGGGAGTATTGATTCTTGTGGTATTAAGGTATCGAATTATATTGAATGTTAAAGAGTAGTATTAGGTCCAGTGAAATCGTTGTTCTTTGGGAGTACCGTTTGTAGAGCTTGGTGAAGTTAAACGAGTTGGTGTCGTAGTTATGGAGCATCGAGTCTAGTTATGTTTATGTATCGAAGTTTGATATGTGTTGTAAATGTAGTAGAGTATATCGAGTAGTCGAGTTTATCATAAGTTAGATTATTTCAATTCAGTACGGAGCACACTACAAAGAAAGGAAGGCGTTCTCTAGTTAAAAAATCTTTGGTTTTTTAGGAATATATATTACCACTTTTAAAGTATTAATATATACTATTAAATACTATCAAATTATATTTTTTTTTATATTTAAGCAATAATTCTTGCTATATCTAAAACAATTACCCTGGTTTTTACTTTCTCGTATATACGAAGTATAGAGAAAGTCTTGTAATCGTGCAAAAAAAAAAATTGAGATTTTTACAAATCTCGACGTTTTACACCTCACTGATACGGAAAAACGTAATTTTGCAATCTTGTCCGTCTGTGTGTGTGTGTGTGTGTGTGTCTGTGTGTGTGTAAACACGATAACTTGAGTACCGTTACAGCTAGGTTGATGAAATTTCATATATAAGTATTTTATCAAAATCTTAGATCAGTATCAACTTTTGAGCGATTTCCGATAACAGGAAGTGTTACTTTTTCTACTTTGATTTTCCAAAAGCCTATAACTTGAGTACTATTTCATAAAGATAAATGAAATTTCATATGTAAGTAAAAGATCTTATTCTCTACCTTCTGTCAAATTTTGAGTAATTTCCGTTGACCGGAAGTACTAAAAAAATTTTACGCTATTTCCGATTTTTCAAAAAACGCATGTAAATGTATAAAGTACTAATAATATTGCGCACTATTATGCACATTTTGTTTTGGCGTTCGCTTGGTGCGCAATTCTTTTTTCTACGAGATTCTATTCTATTTTTAAAAGTTTAAGTAATTAAAAGTCATGTCTATTTTCCGAGTTATATAAGAATATTCGGGAAAGTTTAGGGGAGATCACTCCCGGTTTATTTGAAAGGCGTCCCTTTTTTTTTTTTTTGTCCCTTTATTAAGGGGATCCAAAATTTGTCAAAACGGTCGTGCGCAATTCTTTTTTCCACGAGATTCTATTCTATTTTTAAAAGTTTAAGTAATTAAAAGTCATGTCTATTTTCCGAGTTATATAAGAATATTCGGGAAAGTTTAGGGGAGATCACTCCCGGTTTATTTGAAAGGCGTCCCTTTTTTTTTTTTTTTTGTCCCTTTATTAAGGGGATCCAAAATTTGTCAAAACGGTCGTTCCTCTTTCTAACAATAAATGTATATAATCAAATTTGAATACATAAATGTTATAATAAAGCTACCATTTTTAGACTTCCAAATAAAACCTACAGTTTTAAGTACTTAGTTGGTAAAATATATTATTTTCACAAGGTTACATAATTAAATACAAAATTTATTATAATTATTATGTATTACAATTTTGAGAGTTTTATTGTGTTTTTCAAGCATGTCTTAGTTACACTTGGATATTTTAGCTATTCTTGTGAAAGTTATTTCCCTTGAGTACAATTTTGGTATTTGCATTTTCAAAGGGAGATAATTCGTTGCTTAATTTTACATTCATTTCAAATTCCTGCACCTTAGATTGACCGCTTACTTATAAATACAAATTTAAGGTATTATTTGCTATTGTAAAAATTATATAGAGCTTAAGTTCTAAACAAATTAGTTTTTTTTTAGCATTATCAAATTTAAAAAAAAAACATCAGTAGCTTTTACAGATTGCAATACTTAATGTTAGTAGACATACAGTCTTAGTCGTAAATTAAACATCTAACTAATTGTCTTTTCACATTTTCACCCTCTCCTAA